TACAAATATTTACAATGAAAGATTATGAGCAATGCCCCGAAGAAAATCGATAGTTGATCTATTACCACGATCAGCAATAACATTTTGAATTCTGGCTTCTCTGTTTTCATCTTCTTTGCGTTTCTTTGGAGCTGGTTCTCCACGCATTGATTGCTCATTTCCATTTCAACTTCATTTTGTTCTTTTTGAATTTGTTTAATCATAGTGAAGATGCCAACATGAGGTCGAGCTATTAATGTTTCCCAGCGTCTATGCCAGGCTTCGACTTTGTGTTGGGTTCTGGGAAATGCAAACTCCGTGTTATCGAAGACAGACCACATTTCTGGTGGATGCAATGGATCGTGCCTTTGAACCGTGCCGTTTCTAAATGTTCTTTTTATTCTTCCATGTACATAATTATTTTCAAACCACTGAATAATTGGTTCAGCATCAGATGGTAGTAGAGCTTTGACTTCGTCAAAAGCATCAGGAATTTCTAAGGGAAGTAGAAAAGCCAAAGCAGGAATATGTCTTATAAGAAGACTAAAGTCTTGGTCAGTTCCATATTTTTTGGTTAGTCCTGCATCTTGAATTTGTCTGTATACATTTTGGCCTAAATGAAAATGGCAGCCTTTGTTTTGAGTACTTGGAAACTCTGATTTTACTGCATTGATTGAAGCTTTTCAAAATCAGTTAATACGAAGTCTGGTTTTAATTCCAATTCATTTTCTTCTGCCCATTCATTTAGTTCTTGAAATAATCTTTGATATAATTCTTCGCTTTTCACACTCACCAGCGCGTAAACTAATGGAACAATTCTGGAATTAACATTTTCGCCAGCAGGTGCGTGAATGCTGTACAATTGCCGAAATAACGTTGGAACAGTTTTAAATGTTCCATCCATAATCCAAAATTTTGCTTTTTGCAGCCATTTAAGATTTTCACTTGTTGTGAAAAGCAAAATTCTTTCAGTTCCATCGTTGATGTCTTTTGAAAAATGCATTCCACTGAGTGTAATAGAAGATGCATCTGGTAATTTAAAATCGTCCAAAGTTTTCGTTTCAACTTCTACGTCACAAACACGTTTTGCTCTTTGGATTTGTTGTCTTAAAGCATCTTTTCGTGGTAAACATGGTCGTATTTCATGCGCTGTTATAGCGATAACATTACTAATGATTTGTGCAGGTTGATAGTTGCTAATTTGAGCCAGCTCTTTCATTTGAATGCAGGCTTTCAAAACGTCAGGTTTGCTTGCTTCTTGAGCATGATTGTGCTGCTTAGCATCAAATTTGCGAATCTTATGCTGGCCCTCAATACAAATTATAGTTACCCTTGCAGTACATTTCATTTCCTTGTGTTCTTTGCGTTCGCAAACCCAATAATACAAATCATTACGATTTTGGTCTTTGATATATAAAAATCTATCGATGTTAATTTTGGACTTGCCTTTTGTAGACTTAATCACTTCAGCATACCTGCTTGAATCACTCTCACTGGTTTGACTTGAAGCCATGGTTAAATTGTAACTTATCTCACAGGTAACAGATGAGTTTTAAAAATTTTCTGACGCAATATTTTCAACAAATTTAAATTTTTTTGACTTCAAATTTGTGGCGACAAAATATATAGTCGGCAAAAAGAATAGTCGGCAAAAGAAATCGTCGGCAAAGTGTACATGTCGACAAAAAGTACTTGTCGACAAAACAATTTGTCGGCAAAGTCGTGTCGACGAAGTGATGTGTCGACTACGTGATTGTCGGCAAAGTGACACGGACCCTCAAAAGTCAAGCATCAAATGATCGAATTAAATATATCCAACAGAAATTTTTAAAAAAATAGTTAGTTCATCATCTACCTTAGATCGTTAAGTTAATATATCTGTTACACAGAGAAATACAGAAGATTGGTAATCGATTTGAAAAAATTTATCTGTACAATGATCTATTCATTAGAAATACATATTTTCCTTTCTTCTCGTCTTCTTTTCTTTTGTTTGTCATTGTTTTATTCCTATTTATAAGACACAAAATAAAAAAAAGAACAAGTGAAAAAAGCTTAATTATCTTTTATCCAGAAAATCTTTTTATTTTCTTCTCGGTTAAATGAATAAGATACAACAACAAAAAAAAGAAGAAAACATGATATTACATAGAGAAAAAAAATGTTAAATTCTGGTATTTATCATTATGATATGATATATCAGCTTTGTGAACCGGTTGCTGCATCGTTCATCTAAAACAAAAAAAGCAAATTTTTCAAGTGAATTTTCTTTTTCGAAATATTTTTCTTATCCTGGTATGACAATCATGTGTACAGAACTGAGGATGTTGATATGATTTTCTATTCACTTACATCCACAGACATGGCTGATACTGTAATTCAGACGACAAGTAAAATGATTAATTGACTCCATCGAATGAAATTGCCTAGATCGACCGTTACGGACTTCATAAACGATTGTTTACGACCGTATTATAGGGCCCAGTATTACGATCGTATATCTCCGTGACCGCATACAAAGAAATACGGAGCAAAACGGAGCTCGTACACGGAATATTTACGATCATAAACGATCGTATTTTAACAGTGAACGGTCTAATGCGGACATTTTCGCCGTATCTTACATCCATTTGAGCATCTGTATCACCTTCCCACATCACGAATAGCGCCGTGATTTAGACGGTTTTTATGAAATCAGTGAATAAGTCGTAATTTTCTACTTCATTCCCAGAGAACCAAGTCAAAAACGTTGCCGATTAATCATACGCTGAATCGTGATTTATTCATTGATTTTATAAAAATCGGCTAAATCAAGGCGATTTTCGTGACATGGGATACTATAAAGCTATCTAAAAAAACAAAAAATTACGCAAACAAAACATATTTACTCTTACTTGAATGTATCTCATAAAAAAAACTGAAATAAATAAAAAAATTAAATAAAAGAATTTACTTACTTTTTCTTGAGTTTAAATCTTGAAATGAATTAAAATAAACATTTAGAATAAATATATGAATTTATACTTACTGTTGTTTGACCTTATGTCATAACCATGAACTGTATAAATAAAAACGTTCAATGATTAATTAATACTTAATGTTATTTGACTTTATATCATAAAATGATGTAAAATAAATAAACATTAAATAATAGAATTTATACTTAATGTTGATTAAAGTTAGTGAACAAAATGATCTGAAATAAAGAAAAAAATTAATAAAAATTGCACTTGCTGTTTATAGTTACTATCGTATAAGATTAGTTCAAGCCTATATTAACAACTTAATAAGTCCTCGATATATACCTCCTGTATATGGCCACTACCTTATGGCATATGCGATACCGATGCTCTCTACTAATATTTTTGTCATAGCCGTCGTATTCGATACCTAGATGTACTAGTCTGCTTCCGTACTCTATATTTATATTCTATATCCTTTACCTTCTATTGAATATCATCTGTACTACAATGATATCTATATTTTGCCTCTTGTAATACACATTTATCACGCATATAAACAATAATCTTGTTTTAGCTACAAGTAGTGCTAGGAGGAATAGTCACAATCGTCTAAAAGTTCTATGAAGTCTATGGAAACCTCTTGCAACCATTGAAAGTCCTTTGAAAACTTGAAGTCTTGTTATCTGAAGTCTGTTGAGGTTCGCTAGTTTCTTTCTGGTACAGTATTATCACTAACTGCTACGTACATGCACTTGAAATTGTGCGATATTTGTACGTTGATATAAGACAGAAACTTAAAAAACATATGTCGTCAGTTAGATAGAAGGAATCAAATGAATTTATTAGCAGCAGTATATATGTGTATCCGGAAGATATCGTGTCGTGCTTGATTGCTCTAATCGTATTTACCCACTTTCGCTACAGATTCCAAAAAATTGAGCATACAAGGGCCATATACGGAATCCAATTGAGGTTTCCGTATATCACGGTTTTTCTCCGTAAACGGTCGTTTACGACTGTAAATGTTCGACCCACCATGGCAAGTTTTGACAAAATTAGTTCAGTTCAAAAACTGAATACATGTAATACTCTACTGCATCATATTTTTTATCAATTCTATAGTGTCGAAACAGATGATCAATGTTGGATAAATTATGAAAATCATTGTCTCAGTGATGAAATGACCATTGGTGACTAAAATCATGACGACGTATTTGATGTCACAGCTTTTTGTATAAACAATATTTATTTTGCAAGTTTTTACTTATGATACACAACGAGAATGAGATCGTATTCGTCGTCTTATAATTAATAACAGGCAAAGTCACTTATATATAATTTATCAACCATCTACGGTCACTTATGCTATAAAATGTTTCGAAAAAATGGTTTATGATCAAAATGTTAACTATGGACACATGTGTCGATGAATAAAGGTTTGACTCACCCCCTGGAAACATGGATCTTGCATCGTTACTAAAGTTTGAAATAAAGTCTATTGTTTGCCAACAGTCTGACTTGTCAGTTATCCAAATGACATGTGCTACCATTATAGAAAAAGAACCGACATGAGAACATTGAGCAAGAAGCATGCAAGCATGTGCAACATACGCATGCTTGCATCTGACAACAGAATGCGCAAATGTTTTTTTTTTCTTTTCGTCTGCTGTTATTACACCACATCAAACATTCTCAAATAGTATACTTCTATTCTCTTTTATTCAGTGTCGAGGTCGGCGTTTCGCGTGTCAGTTACTTCTAGAAATATACTTACCTATCTTAAAGACTCTCTTATAGAATTAGAACCGCTCAGGAGGCAACCACAACAGCGACACACTTTCAACCGGGTTTTCAACAGTTAACAAGCTTTCACTACGACTTTCACATTAATCTAAAAACTGCTCGCACTATCCGACCTCGACTTTTTTTCCTGTCAGTACTGTTGAAATAAACTACCACCTTCAAGATAGTTATTGCTGCAAATGTCTAAAACTAGATCGAATACAATCGATATCATGAAGAATATAGAAAAGCAACTTGATTATATTCAATAGAAATCTGTTGGACTCCGATTTATCGTAACAGACATATTGTACTCTGAATGTGAGTAACAGTGAATGACAGTGTTTTTTTTTTGCCAATACCCTATTCAAAGTGAACTCTTTCAAAAACCTGCCGAATTATTATTTTGTGTAAACGATACTAAAAGTCATCATAACGATGTAGTAAGTTAGCACAATTCTGATCCGTGGTAACTATTGGTAGTTGACTTGATTTTTTTTTACCCAGCCATGATGCATCATCTATCGAGAGTACCTTATCAACGGCGTTTTTGTGCAAGTGACTGTCGACATCGATAGAGGTTATTGTTAAATCGAAGGTCTTATGTCAATGATCAGTCAGAAAACGAAGATTGACAGCGATCAATGGTAAGATTTGTGAAGAACATTACTGTACGGCAGCTGATCCTGCGAATGAGAGCGAAGGTATGGAAAAGAATGTCTAAACGCAAGCGTGATGAAGTCGGAGGCCGTCAATGTAGATTAAGGAGAGATATCAAGCAAAAGAAATTGATTCTGCTCGATACACCTTTGTTCTTGGACGAATACCTCAATTCTATCTATGATGAACTAGATGAGTAGCAATGCCTTCGCTCTTGACAATGATGTCTTCTCCATTCTGTGTACGTCCTTCAAGCCAATACACGACAAGACGTCACACCAAGAGATTGAAAGCAGATTTTTACGCGATAAGACAACAAGAAATAATAGCAAGATTAATGCTCGGTCACTTCTTTTGCGTTTACATAGATTCATTTCACCATATGCGAAAAGAAAAATCGATCTGTCTGCACGGAAAAAAGCAATATTCGTCGTTACATGGCACATTCGAATCAACCTAAACTACAGTAGACACGCATTATCAGACCATTTTATTTCATCTAAACGATACAAATCGTACGAGATACAGAAAGAGAAATGTCCTTGGAATCATTGGCAAATGAGTTATTGCCCTATCTGTTTGGATAAAATATTCTCACGACTACAAAAGATAAGCGTGGCAAAAATGTCAACTTTTTTATTAATATCTAACATCAGAAGAGGTCACCTCATTAACTTATTTCTTGCATATGTTGCATGATTCTATACTTAATATTCATTGTAATTGACTACCCATATGATTCGAACAGGAAAAAAACCGGCGGTATACCGCCGGTAGACTGTTCGGTATAATGTGCGGTCTACCGGCGGTTTTGCCGGTAGTTGCAAAAAAACCGGCGGTATACCGGCACGATCAGGGTACGAATCTACTGATCCGCAGTCTTACGAATCTAAGAATAAATATAAATTATCATAGGCCGCAAATTGGTTTAGTGAATCTATTT